TCAGAATGTATTTAATCGTTAAGTGATGTAACTGTACAGGACCCTCCAGAGACACAGCGATTGGGTGTTGGGGCCTGTGTTCTGAGACGCGAGCAGTGGGTGTGATCTCGTTGTCGTTCATCCTCTGGCTCCTGCGCTGTCCCTGTCCTGCCCTTTGACTTAAAGGAGTGTCCTCTCTGACTTACCCAGGAGAGGACTGGCTCTGTAGGGCGTCCGAGTGGCAGCTTGCAGCGTCACTCATCTTGGAGGTCTTCTCTCCAGCCCCTGGGGCATGTTATCTATCGTCCAGTCTCTGGGCTCTTGGCTAAGGTCCCCGCATGTCTCTGGGCACAGGCACACCAGGTTCTCCGCTCTCTTCTTGAACTCTGGCCTCAGTCTAGCTGAACTTCCACCTCCCAAAGGGTGCTCCCATCTATAGCCATCTTCATGTCCCGTGTTACTGATCAGCTGGGTTACTCACTGCTCAGATTCCACAGCCTCTTGGGTGGCACTGTCGTACCTCACACCCAGCACGCTCCAGGCTTCTCTGGGGCTTCAGCCTGCCCCTCACTGCTCCGTGACTGCCGTCACCCGGAGGCTCTTTGGCTCCAAGGCTGCCACCCCTGCAGTTCTCCCCAAATGTGGCCTTCCCAGAATGCCTGTGCTGTCACACCCCCAGGAGCCTATATCACGTCTTGGATGTCCCACAGCAGCGGAGACCCATGAGGCCAGGAAAGGCGGCTAGAACCTCAGATCCCATCCTGGTGCTGACACCCAGAGCCCTACCGTGTGCACAACTCACATCACCTTGCACAGGGATGTGGGAGCCGATGCAGAGGCAGGGAGAACACGCACAGGCCAAGGCGGGGCCCCAAGGGGCCAGATGGGAAGTTCCCAACAGACCCAGTGCCCCTCTGCAGGACCTCCCCCAAGTGCAGAGCTGACTGCTTCAGGCCCCTGCCCTGTCCCCTTCCTCCCCAGGTGAACGGGGCACAACCCTGTCTGGTGGCCAGAAGCAGCGCCTGGCCATCGCCCGCGCCCTCATCAAGCAGCCAGCAGTGCTGATCCTGGACGAGGCGACGAGCGCTCTGGATGCAGAGTCCGAGCGGGTCGTGCAGGAGGCCCTGGACCGAGCCAGCACCGGCCGCACTGTGCTGGTCATCGCCCACCGGCTGAGCACCGTACGAGGGGCCCACCACATCGTCGTCATGGCCCAGGGCTGTGTGTTTGAGGTTAGTAGGGGGGGGGCGGCGGGTTGTTGGGAAGCTTGAGCCATAGACACACTGGAGCAGTGGCTCAGCTGAGCTTTGTGAGCTATGGCCGGGTTCTGGGGGCTTGGGGCGATCTTCTACAAGCAGCACCCCATGTGGATTCAGGAATGTCTGCCCTTTGGTAAGCGCTGGCCTCTCAGGTCCCCAGAGTCTTCCTCTGTCCCCTGGGGGCAGGAGAGCTCCCAGGGTCACAGGGAAGTGTAGTGTGCCTGGGGCCGAGGTGCAGAAGAGGCAGCCCCAGGGACCAGCCAGGAGCTGCACCCAGAGGCAGGGTCCACAGCAAGGCTCAGAGGCTGCGTGGGGCCAAAGCTGAAGGGTTGGCAGGGATGCAGGCCCTGAGCGGGGGTCTTTGGGCTGTGAGGGGCCTGAAGGACAGCAGGGCGTGCTGCGCACAGACACAGATGTGCCAGTGGCACCTGTAACCGCTTGTGCTTTGGTTTCATAGTGTCCCCACAAGGGACGCTGGCTTAGGTGACAGTGAGCCCGATGGCCAATATGAAGCCAGCTTTGTAGGGCCCTGAACTCTGAACTGTGTTGGGTGACCATCTGTCCCTCCTTCCTCTCCAGGAGGGGACCCATGAGGAGCTCCTGAAGAAAGGTGGCCTCTATGCCGAGCTCATCAGGAGACAGGCCCTGGGTGCCCCATCTCCTGAGGCCTCCAGAGGCCCCAGGAACCACCACCCAAAGTCCTGAGAGCAGCCCTCTGCCGTCTGGTCACTGCCAAGCATTAGTGCCCAGGGCTGAGGACTGAGCTCCCCAGAGGGCCGGGCTGGGCTGTGGGCTACCCCCCTGCCCACATAAACCCAAGACAAGCCCTGGGCTGGAAGGAAGTTGGAACTGCTCCCATCGCCTCCCCCACCTACCTCCTGGCTGCCTTCCTCCTGCCAGAGCCACCGAGTCATTGGGCTGCACAGGGAAGGAGGCAGAGTCCTGGGCCCATGCTGTGCTCTCTACCTCCCCCCGACCCTCCTCCCAGGAGCTCTGCCAGCCTCCCTCTTACCCGACAGCCTAAATTTGTCCAGGCCCCAGCTCTAAGAAGACTACGTTCAGGGTTGGGGTGGGTAGAGAATTCACCCTGGGGTTCTCCCCCACACCCATGCCAGACCTCAGTTTCCTAGGCTGATCCCAACACCCCTTCGTCCCCACTGCCTCTCTGGGCCCTGAAAGAAGGAACCCCCACCTTGGGTCAACCCCTCAAACCCACAATCCCCATCCTCAGAACAACTTCTCTTCCTTCACACAGTCCTTGTTTCTAGATTTCACTCTCCCTCATCCAAACAGGATGGATGCCTGGCAGACCCTCGGGGAGGGAGAGGAGGGGTGGGCACTGTGGTCCAGCCTGGCTGTCTCACCACTGCCCCCCCCCCCCAGTCTGTAACAAGGTGAGATTGTAGACAGCCCCCCTCTACATGAGGACACCAACCTGAAGGGGACAGAGCAGCGGCCAATAGTACCAACAGTCCCCAAACCACAAGGGAGGGGTTAATGCTAAACCCCTTGGGCAGACAAATACAAAACCAGTTGGAGGTCAGGCCAGGGGAAGCCAGCAGCCCCAAAGCTTGAATGAGGACCTGGGAGTAGCCGCGGTTTCCCACCAGCCCTCATGGACTCCCCTCCTGCCTTGGTTCTGCCCACATCACCTGTCAGCGGGCAACCTTCCCCTTTCACAGCCACGTCCGGCTGAGGTGCCCACTGAGCCCTGCTCCCTAGGTCGGGGAGAGGGATGGCCTGTGCCAGACCTTCGAGGCTGACCAAACATGTTAGGTTTCTCCTGTGGCACAGAGGGGGGGGCATGGTTGGGGGGCAGCAGCAGTTGCAGAAGCAGAGCTCAGGTGTGAACGCAGGAGCTGGGTGAGGAACTCCACAGCCTCTTCTGTGTGTGGGTTAGGACCAGAAACCACCCAAAATACCACGGCCACAGCCGCCCTGCTTTGCTGCCCCACTCCCTGACCGATGGAGAAATCGCATCCCAGGGCACCCCCGCCCAGGAAGCAGAGCCCAGGGCTGACTTCTGGTTGCTTTGCCAACTAAGCACCTAATGCTGCCAAGAGCAGGCCTTAAGCCCCCTCCCCCCAGTCCACACTGGCCCCTCCCTCAGGAGAGCCAGCTGGGCCAGTTCCTGCTACTCCAGCCCTGGCCTCCGTCCTCTGACACCAGATTCTGGGTCTCCTTAGCCCTTCAGGGTGGCCTCTCCAAATCCTGCTCCCACGCCCCGCTCAGGCAGGAAAGTAGCGAGGTCCACGTGTGCCTTCAGCTGGAAGGCCATGAGGTTGGCGCCTTGTAGCCTGAGCCTGGACCTTTGCTCCTTTGGCTGTTAAACATGGATCCTGAGCCTGGCGATGCTTAATTTTGACAGTTTGTTTTAAGAGTTTCAGTGGTAAAGTACTTAAAACTCACAATGCTGCAGCCTCCGAAGGTGGTCAGATCTGGGCAATAAACCGTATTACCCACTTCTTCTGTCCAAAATGTGTTCATTGAGCACCTCTCGTGCCCACAATGGGGTTGACAGTCCTTGCCCATCGGACAGGCAACTGCAGTGCCGTGTGACCATGTTGTAAACTATGTTACTTCTACTCACAGCCAAGAGCCCACCAACACGAACCCAGTGGGCTCAAATGCTCTGTGGAGAGAGACGAAGTAGAAACAGATTTCAGTGAGTTAATGGAGATAAAAACCTGCTTTCTCTCAGGCCCCCAGTGCAGCATCTGTCTCCCCATTCCCCATCCACCGGACTGGCTCCTGTGGCCCTCAGCTTGGGTCCCCAAGACACCCTAATCCGTCAGGCCAGCAGGCAGTGGCGTCGCATGTAGGCCATGCTCTGCTCTCTGGAGGTGCCTGCTCCAGCTGCTGGGAGATGCCCACTGCCCCACAGGCTCTGGATCCTCTGACACTTATTCAGTCAGATGTGCCAGCTCTGTGGCCCAGGGCCCTCCCGCCAGCTCACAAAAAGCAGGCACACTCCTGTGTTACTGCTGGGAGCACAAAATGGTGTGATTCCTATGCCAGGAATTTTGTGGCATCAAATGACCCACGAAGTTGCCTCTTGACCCAGCACTTCTGTTTCTGGGAGTTACAGTGTTGCTGAGCACACTGTAATGGAAGACTGGAAACCCCCAGAATTCATCAGGAACACGGTGATATCAACAGGGTGTGTCCGCATAATGGAAGGGTATGCAGCCATTTAAAAATGGAGAAGTTTTCCAGGTACTGGATATCACGTGGTCCCCAGAATATGTTAAGTGAAAAAAGATGTGAAATCTTAGAACACCATGTCATACCTGGGAACTGGGCTATGTTACCTGGGAGTGTGGCAGGTGAGCCCACTTTGTGGTAGAGACCAACCTTCCAGACAGGAGGGCATGAGTTGGGGGCAGGGGCAGGAAGAGGGTCACTCAAGAGACACCCCCCCGAGGACAGGGGACCTGCAGAGGCCTGGGCCATCTGGGGTAGGCTGGAACACTGGGGGCTCAGAAGGAGGAGATGGCCAATGCCAAACGCCCCACCACCTTCCAGCCTGGTCAAGAGCCAACTCCCCTCTTTGCAAAAGGAACACTCCCCCCACC